CTACACTCTCTCAGCACCCTAACACTATTTTATTAAGATATATTTGAATAATTACAAGGAGGCCCTTAGTTGGGCAAGAATTTACAAAGAACTTAATATAGACAGGATGGGCCCAGAATAAGGCCCATTACAGAAAAACATAAATAACAAGAAAGAATAAACAACCTATGGGCCATTTGGCCCATCTTCTCTACACTATTCTCTCACAACATTGACCAGCTATTGAAACTTATCGTTGTGTAGTGTAGGACCCACATATATCTCAATTTAAACCAACAGGGTTCAGCCCACATACTAAAGTACATGGGCTGCATTCACTAGGTCTAACTTAGTGAATTGTCCCTACACTAAGTGTATGTCTAACTTAGGCCCAAATTTGTCCCAACAAGTGTCATAAAATTGTCTTGAACTTCAGCCATCCTATGAGCCCTCTACTCAAATAGATCCCGGGATTAAAACCATTTTGCAAACTCTTTACCAGAATAAACTATTTATAAGTATAAGTACATTTTGCAAATCCGATTTCAAAACAAGTTGAAATCCATTGTCGGCATTTTTAGGTTTCCATAAGAGAGAGTGTACTCTGGGATATTCTCTTTGTTTGACAAAATGGCTAATTCTATCACAATGATCACTCACTCAAGTGGCTTCTTAATCTAGTTCTGGTCCAACATACTCAAGTATTTGACCCCAAAAGGATCTCATTAGTTGGTACATCAAAAGCAGGCCGGTCTAACACATCAAAAGCAGACCTCTGTCTCCAAGGTCCAAGGTAAAATTGGAAATGGTCATGTTCTGTATTTCTTAAACACCCACCCACTATACCTTAGGTCTAACCCGAGCAGTTGAGACAAACTGCTTCACCACTACAACAGTACAGGAGTGTCAACCTTGATATGATAAAACTCCCCCAAGTTCATCATTTGGCTGAGAACACTTAAGATTACAAGTCTCATAAATGTACAACTAAGGGGTAATTCATGGAAACACACCATAACACGCATGAAATAAAATGTACTGATTTTATTCAACAACAAATGTTAGTATACATCAAACTGATGTAGCCAATGGCATACACTGTCTAATCAATAACCATAGCCAATTTGGGTTGGAGGGCTGATCCCTAGAAAAGGCCTATCCACACTACACACCATTTTTAGAAAGACTATTTGATCCACCCCTCCCAAAACATTGGGTAGTGGTTCTTTTATAAGCTAGCATATTGGTTGGTCTTCCCTTTGAATGAGATGCTTATTTTGGACAAGAAAAGTAACTACACCAAGCATGACAGCATCTATACATTCACAACTAAAATATCCAAGGTAGACAAAATATTTGAGTCAAAAGGTGAGTGATTTACATCTTCCAACATAAGTTGATCTATCAACCAGTCCACAAAGAGTGATCCTATGTCCTATATCATAAGAAGTGTTTATATTATCCCTTCTTTTCCCTTTAAAAACTCTTGTTTTACTTACATCCTATATTCCCCAATAAATGCCAATTTGAGTAGTACTACAAAAAATATTTTACCATATAACACCTGCATAACGAAAACCACAGAAAGAGAAGACATCATGAAGATGAGCAGGTCTGGACATTAAATACATGTGATACATATTCTTCATGATTGTTGCACATGAAGCTATCTTGTAATTCAAAAATTGCCTATTCTTCAAATGGTCCACTATCAGAATATTATCAAGTGAAAGTAGGAATGCTGACACATTTTATTCTTGCTGGATTGACCCAACACCCTTTATATATGAGTGTTCCACATGATTTCTCATCAATGCTTCATAAAAAGACTTGACTAAAAAGAACCCATTCACATTTTTTCCCCATCGTGCATCTGGAGAAGAGGGTATTTTATTTTATTCTAACTTGCCAAATAGATTTATGTACTCTTCTGTTTCTTTTGTCATATCACTATTTCAATACATGCTTGTGCAATAAGATTGTTTGCTGTATCTAGCTTATGGATAGGTCTATTGTTAATAAATCTATTTTCCTCTCAGGTTTTTTTGTTGATATAAACTTATTCAAGGTGAATAAGGAGAAAGCTGCTGAATTTGCAAAAGACAGTAACATGCTAGTCAGGAACATCAATGGTAACTACAACAGAAGTACATCAGGAGCATATGGTTTGGATAATGAAGATGGAAATTTAATGATCAAATTAAAATTTCTTACATACAAGGTATACACATTTTTTTTTGTTAATGAAACAACTTGATATAGGCTTATAGCTGCAACCTTTGGAAAATAAGTGTATGGAATGGACCATTGTTGGCAATACATGGTTTGGTAAACAAGATAATCTAATTAGAGGAAGTAGAATGTAGGTTGAATCATCACGCCCAATAAGAGTGAGGGAAAGGCCAGATTGGTTTTTGGTTCTTTTCTCATGTTGAGAATGTTTATGTATGGGCTTATTGTCTTTTGCATCCTTTTGTATGGATAATAACATACCTCTCTTCAACATTAGAGCCCTCCGAGGGTCTTGGAAAAAGCTTCCCCTACTAACCTTCATACCAGGAAGACCTACTGACATCAGCCCACTGCCAGATGATGTTAGTAGCTCATATAGGTGGTAGCACCAACTCTTGAATCTGGTATAGTCGGATGCACCATGATTTTAGGAAGTTTTGTTATGGTTCTTATAGGGGTTTGAAGCTTCTATGATTTATTCCTGGATTTTTTAATAAAAAATGGTAGAAATACATATTTGATGTTTAAGGATTTTCTGTGCACCTAAAATTTTTTCCTTGCATGAGATTTATTTCCCCTGTGCACATTTTTTAGTGATGGGAAGTTTCTTCACAATTTCTAAACCCTGGATGATTTTTGGGAGATTTTGTCTCTCCCTTTATTGTTGTCAGCCAGTTTTTTTGGCCTCCTTTTGTTTCTTAACCAAGATTTGACCTTTTTATTTAAGTCTATTGTGTGCCGATTGGTTGTTGGAGTGTTGTTGGTGATCAAGATGCTAGTCTGTGGGTCATGAAGTCATCCAAGGATATACAGGTTGTTTTCAGTGTTAATTAGACATGTCAACACTTCTAGTGGTATGATAACCACCATAAAACTTGATGGGACCAATTTTTTGGAATGGTCCCAATTTTTCAAGCTTACCATTAGAGGAAGAGATAAGTGGGGTTTCATTACAGGGAAGGAAGTGAAGTTGAAGCCTGAAGACCAAAAATTTCCCATGTGGGAGTAGGACAGTTTGTTGGTAATGTCTTTGCTGGTTTGCTCTATGCAGTCACATAACACCCATAAATACACACTCCTCTCCATTGCCAAGGATATTTGGGTACTACCACCTATTCCTAGGCAAGAAATACAACCTGAGTGTATTAGCTTAGGAGAGAGGCTTGCAGTATGCATTAGGGGGAGAGGACAATGGCCATGTGTTTTTCTTCTCTACAGTCACTCTAGGAAGAAATAGATCACTTGGCAGCCTTGGAATGGAAGGATCTTGAAGATGGAAGCAGTACTGGAAGTATATTGAGAAGAAAAGTTTCTTTGATTTCCTAGCTAGATTGAATCCTGAGTTTGACTTTACCAAGAAGCATATATAGTGCTCTTGACAGTAAATCTGATTTAAGATTACAGCAAAAGAGAAGAGAAGAGAAGAGGAGAGAAGAGAAGAGAAGAAGGAAGAAAGAAGAAGGATTGAGGCAATGGAACAGTGCTGGCAGCGCCCGCTTCATTATAATATATAGGGCACAAAAATAAGAAGGGAAATGACCCTTGTGCCCCTACTAAGTGATGGTACAATAATATATTAAAATAAAAAAGGCTTTGATCAGACAAACAGACCCTAACAAACATAAAATCAATTATTTCAACACTCCCCCTCAAGTTGGAGCATAGATGTCAATCATGCCCAACTTGTCACACAAATCATTATGCTGCACATGATGAAGACCTTTGGTGAAGATGTCTGCAAGTTGTTCTTCTGAGCTGACATATGGGGTGCACACTTCTCCATTTACAAGTTTCTCTCTAATAAAATGCTTGTCCACTTCAATGTGTTTCGTCCTATCATGGAGGATTGGATTAGCTGCAATGTTGATAGCAGCCTTGTTGTCGCAATAGAATGACATAGGGCTGCTAACTGTAAAACCCAGTTCTCCTAACAGATTTCTTATCCACATGATTTCAGCAAATCCATGAGACATAGCTTTGTATTCTGCTTCAGCACTAGACCTAGCCACCACACTTTGCTTCTTACTTCTCCATGTGACTAGTTTTCCCCTAGGTCATCAACTGTCCCTGCCCAATCAGCATCAGTATATACCTCCACCTTTAAATGTCCATGTTTCTGGAACAGCAAACCAGCTCCAGGAAACTTCTTGAGGTATTTGAGGATCCTCTCTGCAGCTTCAAAGTGAGTTGTCCTAGGATTGTGCATGAACTGACTAAGGACACCCACTGCATAAGCAATATCAGGCCTGGTCATAGACAAATACAAGAGTCTCCCTACAAGTCTCTGAAACTTCTTCACATCTTTCAAGAACTCTCCCTGACTGTCTCCCAGATGATGGTTAGGTTCAATTGGTCTCACCCCCAGTTTGCCTGTATCTTCTAGTAGATCTAGTACATATTTCCGTTGGGAAATAAAGATGCCCTTGTGAGAGCGGGCAACTTCAATTCCAAGGAAATAACGTAAGGGTCCTAGATCTTTCACCTCAAATTGAGTGGCTAAGAACTTTTTTAGTCTTTGTATTTCAGCCTCCCAATCTCCTGTGATCACTATGTCATCCACATACACAATTAGAGCTGCAATTTTCCCTTCACCTTTCTTCACAAATAATGCATGATCTGACTGGCATTGTTTGAACCCCATCTGTTGAACTGCTAAGTGGAACTTACTAAACCAGGCCCGAGGAGATTGTTTCAGCCCATATAAAGATTTTTTTAACTTGCACACTTTTTATTCACTGCCTTTAGCACAAAAACCTGGAGGTTGGGTCATGTACACTTCCTCTTCTAGGTCACCATTCAAGAAAGCATTTTTGATGTCGAATTGGTGAAGTTCCCAGTTAATATTTGCTGCTAGTGAAAGGAGAATTCTGATAGAGTTCATCTTGGCTACTGGGGCAAAAGTCTCTGCATAGTCTACTCCATATACTTGTGTAAAACCTTTTGCCACCAGTCTGGCCTTGTACCTTTCAATAGTTCCGTCAGCCTTGTGTTTCACTGTGAACACCCACTTGCACCCCACTGGTTCCTTCCCTTCAGGAAGATCCACCAACTCCCAAGTGCCATTTCTGTGTAATGCATCAATCTCTTCCTTCATTGCATCTGTCCATTCAGGTTTGGATAAAGCTTTTGCCACATTCTTAGGAACGGGGATACTGTCAACAGAGGGGAGGAATGCACGATATGAAGATGAAATATCATAGTAGAAGATCAAGACTATAATCAGTCTTGAATCCTAATAGGTTTTAGGTTTACAAAACAGAACAAAAGTGAGAGAAAGGAGAAGGAATAGAAGAGAAACAGGAGAACACAAGGGGTTGAAAGGAGGGACAAATTCTAACAGATCTGCCGCCGCCACTCTCTTATTATTTATAGTTTATGTTCAGTACATAATGGAAAGGACACATCTGCCCTTGGTACTTACATGATAAATAAAGTAAATAAAAACTGAATAAATAACAACTGAATTAACAAACTGACTCAAACTGACACTACTATAACTGAAACAAATAACTACACATGCTGTCCTACGAACACAGTGGGGACCACTGCTGTGGGGCCCACATCAGTGTTCTCTACATTCATCATAGGACACAAAGTGAGAGATAGGATGGTTAGTGGTACAAGATCTAACACCCTTTCTCTTAGCAATAGGAACATCAAGATCATTAATGATAGGGGAATCAACATTGAGAGGAGCAGGCATATCAATAGAAGCAAGTGTACCTAGCTGATGGGAAGGATCAACCTCCAGTGAAGACGATGATGTTGGTTGCATAGTGTCAGGTTCCATGGTTCTTGAACTCTGCTGGCTTTTGTGGCGGCGAAGAAAGATGCGGAATGGAGGTTAGGTAGAGGAGGTAGTTGAGTTTGAGCCTTTTTCTCCTCAACCCTACTCTCCTCCTGAGGAGAAACCAAGAAGAAAGGTTGATTCTCAAAGAAGGACACATCTATTGAGACAAAGTACTTATGTGAGACGAGATCATAGCAACGATACCCCTTTTGAGATAGAGGATAACCAAGGAAGACACAAGGAATAGAACGAGGATCAAGTTTACCCCGAGTAGGTGATAAGTTATGAACAAAGCAACGACACCCAAAAACATGCATTGGAATGGGGAACAACGGAGCTGTAGGAAACAAAAGCTGATGTGGGGCCTTATACTCTAGTAACCGAGAGGGCATACGGTTGATGATGTATGTAGCACACAGAACAACATCCATCCAAAAACATTTCGGAACATTCGTATGGATTAAGAAGCCACGAGCTACTTCAAGAAGATGACGGTTTTTTCTTTCAACAACACCGTTTTGTTGAGGTGTCCTAGCACAAGAGCTTCGTTGAAGTGATCCACTTGAAGCAAAGAATTCCGTGAGATCACTATGGAAGTATTCCTTTGCATTGTCCGACTGGAAAATAAGGATTTCAGTTTGGAACTGAGTGAACACCATGCGTTCAAAGTCTTTCACAATTTTAGGCACTTCCTCTCTATATTGCATAGGGTAAACCCAGGTGTATCTAGAGTAATCATCGATCAAGGTAATGAAATACTTATATCCAGCCGCAGTAGGTAGAGTAACAAGGCCCCAAACATTAGAATTGTAAGTAAACCCTAGTAGATTCTAGGTCAAAGTAGAGAAGAAAGAAAAGAGAAAGAAGAATAAGAAGAGAAAGAGAGTTCGGCCAGATTAGAAGAGAGTAAAAATCACTTCTCCCCTAGCCGACCCACTTGTATTTATTCAAAATCATAGAGTTACAAGAAAGACCATTTTGTCCCTCATAGGAGATGGGACACATAACTTAAACTCAGATACAATAGACCTTTCACTCTTAAGCAGATAAACCAGAATGATCAAAATACCCCCGACTCGAGCATTCTAACACTCCCCCTTAAGCTGGAGAGTATATATCATATAGTCCTAGCTTGTTACGAATGTAATCTATTCTTCCTCGAGACAATCCCTTTGTGAAGAGATCTGCCCACTGATTTC